ACTTTACATTACCGCAGTACTTTTCCCACAAAGGTTCATGAGAACTTAGTTCATGAGAACTCTTTAGTTCGCATGAACCTTTGTGGGAAAAGTACCGCGGTGTGAATGCGCCTATTGGCGTTGTTTGCGTGGTGCAGACACGTAAATGTAGCAAAGTTCGTGACTCCACCACGCAATGCGGTGTTAAGGAGTCGTGGAGTCACGCATTCTGGTGAGACCAGGTTGACTGGAGACATGTACAAAATATATGTCATAGGCTATGTATTATTGCTACACAAACATTATATTGCCGTTGTAGTGTCGCCAACTCCATTTATAATACACAAAAAGACTGCAAAATGCGTCTATGATTATTTTTAGTATTTTCGATCATTCCAATCCAGTCGAGAGATCTCTCTCTCTGCCCCGCCTGCTTGGGAGGGGGCGGGGCAGTTACACACACGCAGCTGATACATGCAACACACACGGAGGAGATGGCCGAGAGAACGCGCTCCAAGGTGTGGTTACACTTGACCCGTCTCGATATGCAAAGTCTATTAAGTCCTTTCAGAGTTCAAATAAAAATATCCCCCGATTCTTGGTTCTTCATAATTTTGTGTAATGGCCTATCATACGGTTTGATTTCGATAACAAACCAATGAATGCAAGGGAAGAGTCTGACTATTTTGATTTGTTAATCTACATTGACCCACAATAATTAGATGTATAACAATGCTTTCCCTTATTTAGAAGACAAATATTTATCTTCACATCAAGGAAAGTCAATCAGACGGTAACGGGATGGTGAACAGCGGAGACCGAGGAATAAACGGAGACTTCGAGATTCCCCCGGGGACGCCTCGGCAGACAGACACGCATGAGGCAGTGACGAGAGGAAGAGAACCGAGATCCGAGGGAACAAATATCCGCCATGTTGTTAGCCACCCTGCTAGCATATCAACGGCTAAAGCTACAACGGAGCCTCCCTCCCCCCACCACCACCCCACCTCTCCAAACACCACGGCAAGCCGGTTGCTGTAACGGACAAAGACAAATATCTGCAAGCTGACGACATTGTGCATTTAAGCAACAAAAATGGACTACATATTTTTCATCTGAACACTAACAGCCTGAGACACAAACTGGCTGAACTCAGGCAGCTATTCATGAACGGTAAGGCAAGCATATTATGCTTTTCTGAGACCAAATTGGACAATTCCATTACAGATTCAGAGATTGAAATTGAAGATTATCTTGTAGTGAGAAGGGACAGGAACGTGAATGGAGGTGGTGTCTGCATGTACATACATAAAGACACCAATTTTAAAAACCGTACTGACCTGCATCATGAAAATATTGAATCTGTGTGGGTTGAAATTCTTTTTGACAATGCTAAATCTGTAATAGTCGGGACAATCTATAGACCACCGGAACAGAGTGACTTTTATGATACATTAGATGGGTGTTTGGCTGATGTGGGGGATGTAGAGACAATTATTATTGGAGACTGGAACACGGATATGCAACGTAAAGACACGTCCGTCTTCAAGTCCTTCAGTAGGATTTGTGATCTGCACGGCTTCAGCCAGCTAATCACCCAACCCACCCGGGTATGTGAAACAACACAAACTACCATTGATCTCATTCTGACCTCTGACAAGTCCAGGATCTCCAGTAAAGGGGTTATAGCATGCGGTTTAAGTGATCATTATATGATATTCTGTACCCGCAAAAAGCTAAAACAAAGGGCCGGCTGTCACAAAACAGTCATATCTAGAGACCTCAAAAACTACTCTAGCGAGGCCTTTAACCTAGAACTGGAGAGCCTGGACTGGTCAGATGAGCTCAGTGGTACACAAGTTGAAGAAACATGGCTTGGTTTCAAAAACAAATTCTCTGCAATACTCAATGATTTGGCCCCCCTAAGAACAACCAGGGTAAAAAATCGCGCTGAGCCGTGGATGCACTCCGGCATACTGACCGCCATGAAAACCAGAGACAAAAAATGCTCTGAGTTTCATAAAAGTCAGTCAATGCTTTCCAAAAGCACGAGCAGTGAACTCCAGGCCCACGTGACTGAACTAAAAATTGAAAGAAACAGACTAAGAAATGACGTAAGCTCCATGATCAAAACTGCCAAAAAGAATTTCATCAATGTCAAAACTGAGGAAAACAAAAATAAACCCCGTGAACTTTGGAAATTACTCAATAACCAGCTTGGCTGCAGTAAAAAACTCAAAACGAGATTTTCTAACTTAAACATAAAGACAGATAACAGGCTCATCACAGACAAACTGGATGTGGCCAAGTACTTGACATTTTTTTTCACAAACATAGCCACAACTCTTGTAAATAAATTACCCTCCCACTCAGGGCTTTTTGGAGTAGATCACATCATGACCTACTACAAAAACCTAGGGGTACGCAAAGATGATTTCAGTCTAGCAAGGGTAACAACAGCAGAGGTACTCATTAAACTGAGCGCCCTCCAACCTAACAAGGCCACTGGCCACGACAATATCCCCTCCAAATTCCTCAGAGACACAGCAACCGCCATCTCACCAGTCATAGCTCACATAATTAACCTCTCCATAAAACAGGGAAAAGTACCCAAAGACTTCAAAATTGCAAGAGTAACCCCCCTGCACAAAAAGGGCAGCAAATTGGACCCAGGCAACTACCGCCCTGTTTCTATACTTACCTCCATCTCGAAAGTCATGGAAAAAATAGTATATGAACAGGTCGAAAAGTACCTCGCGGAAAAGAAACTAATCTATGAATTTCAATCTGGCTTTAGAACATCCCACTCCACTGACACATGCCTTCTTTATTTGAGCGACCACATCAAACAAGAGGTGGACGAGGGCAAGTACTGCGGCATGGTGATGCTGGACCTACAAAAGGCTTTCGACACTGTCAATCACCCCATTCTGATTGACAAGCTAAAAGCAATTGGTTTTGATAAACTATCGGTGAGCTGGATGCAATCTTACCTGGAGGGGAGACAACAGATGGTGGAGGTAAACGGTACTCTGTCCCCCCCCCCTCCCAGTGAGCTGTGGTGTTCCACAAGGAAGCATATTAGGTCCGTTACTGTTCCTAATTTATGTAAATGACATGTCATCAGCATGTGACTGCAACTTGTTCCTGTTCGCGGACGACTCAGCCCTGCTGGTCTCTTACAGGAACAGGTTGCAGGTTGAAAAAACCCTCAGCTCCGAGCTCGGCAGAATCTGCACGTGGCTCGCCGATAATAAATTATCATTACACCTGGATAAAACAGAGTCCATTCTCTTCGGTTCGAAACATAATCTCAGCAAATCCGACGACTTCTCAGTTGCAGTGGGCGACATTATTGTCACAAGTAAGAAGGAAATTACATACCTAGGATCTATTCTTGAGGCAAACCACTCCTGTGACAAAATGGCATCCAATGTAATAAAAAAAGTCAATCAAAGAACTAGATTCCTATACCGGATCTCCTCTCTGGTAAACAAAAACACCCTGAAAACTCTGTCAGGAGCACTCATTCAAGGGTACTATGACTATGCTTGCACGTCATGGTACCATAGCACCTCTAAGGCGCTAAAAATAAAACATCGCAAAATAAACTGGTCAGACTACTGCTTGACCTTTCATCTAGAACCCACCTCACCTCTGCCCACTTTGACAACCTAGGATGGCTTAGAGTAGACGACAGAGTACAGCTACTTGCAATGGGACTGGTCTACAAGATCCACTACACCTCTATGGTACCCATGTACATGTCAAAATTCTTCCCAAAGGTCAAGGAATACCATGATCATAACACCAGAGGGAGCTCCACAAATCATGTGAAACCCAGATTTGGCACAAAAAAGGGGGAATACACGTTTCGCAATTATGCCACATCAAGGTGGAACGCTCTTCCCACAACTGTAAAGGAAAGTAAAACTATACTTACCTTCAAAACCTCTCTTAAAGAGCACCTTCGGGGGAGAGCATTGCAAAACTGGCCCCGGTAATGGTACAAATCTCAACCCGTCGTTCAATGGACAGCTTCCCCCCCCCATCTATGTATATTCTCGCATTTTAGACTCTGTTACTAACTGTATATCTTTAGACTTGGTATGTCTTAAATGTCCGGTTAGGATGTATTAGAACGAAATCTAAAATGAAAATTGTAAATAAGCAATCTGTATGTAAAAAAACCACCTGTATGTAAATTGTAAATAAGCCATCTGTATGTCAAATATGTCTTAAATGACATTAATTGGAAATGGGGGACCCTGATGTAAACAAGACGAAAGTCTTTCTCTGGTCTGCATCCCCTTAACAATTGTATGTTTTGAGCTGTACTGTACTGTACCCAATATACAAGCTGTTAATAAACTTTTCAATCAATCAAACATGCATCAGTGTCCCAGCCTGACTTGGACCAAAGATGTCATTTCATGGTTAGATCCATAATTTGAAAGAAACAATACACAGGTGTTAAGGACACCCTGTAGGATAAAAGGTTTTGCTTCGATCATTGTTGACATTTCACTTGAATGGTTAAGGATCTCACCTGTGAAGTCATTTTTAGTTGTATAAAGGCTACTTTTATAATATAACATCTACATGTGTAGTTTGAACACTTATGACCTAGTGGTTGACCAAATATTTAGTAATGCTTACTCCAGTTTACAAAACCAAAAAGAGAAAACACAACCCTTTTAAAGCTTGTTCACACAAGGAAAGCTAGTGTGAACACAAAATGTTCCAATTCAAAACCTATAAGAAATGGTTGAGCAATGATACCATGTGGACACAACGCCACACTTCAAATGAATTACATTTATAAATGTAAGAATTTAAAGTGTGCACTTCAAGTTAATAGTTTGTCAGCACAACTTTTCGGTTTAAATTAAATGTCATTTTCTCAATATGGACTGTTCACTCATTCACAAACCAAATGAGACTTCTTGAAGAGCCTGGAATAAAAAGTATCTTGGGTAGTTGAGGGTTAACAAAAGCACAAACTATAAAAGCGTCCCTGTTCAAAACTTTTATTAGAACTGTTTAAGTAAGGTAGCGTGGAGGAGGAAAAGGAGGCAGCAATGGTATGGACAAGTGAACATGGGGATGAAAAGGAGAATGGGGTGCCAGAATGGGCGGGTGATCTGGTTTCACAGTTGTAGGAGTGGTTGGATATTGGGGATAGGGAGGGATCATAGGGTAAAGATGATAGTAAGGCATAGATGGTGGAAGCTGCGATGAGGGATTTTTCGCCTTTGGTTTAGTTGTAGTTGGTGTTGTCGCAGTAGGTTTTGGCTTTGTAGCTGGATAAAGAGGATGAAAGGGAGGATACATCGGCATATATCGTGGAAACGGCATCTGAGCGTATTGAGGCATCTGAGGGTTTTGAGGCATCCGAGGGTTTTGAGGCATCCGAGGCAGTGAAGAAATTTGAGTCGCCTTTGCAGTTGTAGGCCGTATGGTCGTTACCTCTGGCATCTTAGGGTTTTGAGGCATCGGAGGGTATTGAGGCATCCAAGGCATCGGAGGGTATTGAGGCATCCAAGGGGTTTGAGGCATCAGAGGGTTTTGAGGCATCAGAGGGTTTTGAGGCTTCAGAGGCAGTGAAGGAATTTGAGTCGCCTTTGCAGTTGTAGGGCGTGTGGTCGTTGCCTCTGGCATCTTAGGGTTTTGAGGCATCGGAGGGTATTGAGGCATCCAAGGCATCGGAGGGTATTGAGGCATCCAAGGGGTTTGAGGCATCAGAGGGTTTTGAGGCATCAGAGGGTTTTGAGGCTTCAGAGGCAGTGAAGGAATTTGAGTCGCCTTTGCAGTTGTAGGGCGTGTGGTCGTTGCCTCTGGCATCTTAGGGTTTTGAGGCATCGGAGGGTATTGAGGCATCCAAGGCATCGGAGGGTATTGAGGCATCCAAGGGGTTTGAGGCATCAGAGGGTTTTGAGGCATCAGAGGGTTTTGAGGCTTCAGAGGCAGTGAAGGAATTTGAGTCGCCTTTGCAGTTGTAGGGCATGTGGTCGTTGCCTCTGGCATCTTAGGGTTTTGAGGCATCGGAGGGTTTTGAGGCATCCAAGGCATCTGAGGGTTTTGAGGCATCCAAGGCATCTGAGGGTTTTGAGGCATCCAAGGCATCTGAGGGTTTTGAGGCATCAGAGGCAGTGCAGGAATTTTAGGAATTTGAGTCGCCTTTGCAGTTGTAGGCCGTGTGGTCGTTGCCTCTGGCATCTTAGGGGTTTGAGGCATCGGAGGGTATTGAGGCATCGGAGGGTATTGAGGCATCCAAGGCATCAGAGGGTATTGAGGCATCAGAGGGTTTTGAGGCATCAGTGGGTTTTGAGGCATCAGTGGGTTTTGAGGCATCAGCGGGTTTTGAGGCATCAGTGGGTTTTGAGGCATCAGTGGGTTTTGAGGCATCAGTGGGGTTTGAGGCATCCAAGGGTTTTGAGGCATCAGTGGGTTTTGAGGCATCAGTGGGTTTTGAGGCATCAGTGGGTTTTGAGGCATCAGTGGGTTTTGAGGCATCGGAGGGTATTGAGGCATCCAAGGGGTTTGAGGCTTCAGAGGCAGTGAAGGAATTTGAGTCGCCTTTGCAGTTGTAGGGCGTGTGGTCGTTGCCTCTGGCATCTTAGGGTTTTGAGGCATCGGAGGGTTTTGAGGCATCCAAGGCATCTGAGGGTTTTGAGGCATCCAAGGCATCTGAGGGTTTTGAGGCATCCAAGGCATCTGAGGGTTTTGAGGCATCCAAGGCATCTGAGGGTTTTGAGGCATCCAAGGCATCTGAGGGTTTTGAGGCATCCAAGGGTTTTGAGGCATCAGAGGCAGTGCAGGAATTTTAGGAATTTGAGTCGCCTTTGCAGTTGTAGGCCGTGTGGTCGTTGCTTCTGGCATCTTAGGGTATTGAGGCATCCAAGGGTTTTGAGGCATCTGAGGGTATTGAGGCATCTGAGGGTATTGAGGCATCTGAGCTACAGGGGAATGGGGGGAAATCGTTTTGGAAGCAGGAGGTGCAGCAGGAGGTGAGGCAGGAGGGGAGGCAGGTTTGGAACACCAGAGAGAGACTGGAATTCCTTGCCAACGCATCGGGAGTACATAACTTCCACCCTTTGGGAGAAAAACATACAATTAGAAACAGCAAGGAATCACACAGACCTGTCAATGTTACAATCCGACTGTACAAGGCAAAAGATTAATCTCATGCTATATTTTCTGAATAGATCATCATGATGCAACATATTTGAATGTCGATCCCCCCATCCAAAAAACATAGTTAATCAGTACATTTGAAAGCAAGCGGAAAAAAACTCGCATTTGAAAAGTTGAAAAACACATTTTCTCTTGAGATCAAGATGATGCAGATTAAACATTTTATTTTGTTGGCTCTCGTTACACCATTCATAACTATAACAATTCACAGCACTAGCCATCGTTTTTTTAAACTCACTTCCTCACTCTTTAAATCAGTTTCACATTACCTCTTGAACCATGTTGCAGCCATCATAGGGAACCAACATTTCAAGTGCATGGGAGTTCCTCTGCATGCTGTAGCCACAGGTAGACGGGACCTGGGACAGAGGCATTGGAGGTGCATTTCCTGTGGGGTAAAACAGTTCAGTGTTTATATCATTGGTAGAGATAAATCAAGTCTACATTTAGGATATTCATTTACCTTGTTCTACCGCAAATTGTGATGCTCCTGGTTCCACCACTCTGAACTTCATCCGGCCCAAACCACACTGCAGTGAGGGAGACATGCTCATCCATGACGAGTCTTTTGGACTGGCGACTTGTGTTGGGCTCATCCAGCCTGAAGGCCAATATAATATATATATATTTTTTTTAAATAATTTGTACTTTAAAAGAGAAGCAAAACAATTCAAGCAAAAACAACAAACCCTTCATTATGTAATCAAAACATTTGTACCTGCAAAGTCTCCTTGATAAGCACCTTCATCCTCCTCATAAGCGTTTGAGGATGACTTCTTGGTCCCGTCTGTGACTTGAGAATCAAGTCCTGATCCTTTTTCAAATTCTCTCCCGAAAACAATTGTCCCCTCTTGGAACCCATTTGTTGTATCTGCATATTTTCGCCCTTCTCTTCTTTCTGTTTTCTTCAGACGATAACAGTCTATAGTTTGCGCAAAATAACACGTCAGAATAACAGCTGCAGCCAGGTAACCACCAGCGCATTTTCTCTTTCCTGTGTGTATCATCCTGTTGGACATGACTGCTGATGTGAAGAGCTGCTATTTAAGCATCAAGCAGGTGCTGCGACAAGCAATCAAGCTGTTATTGGATCCACCTGGGTTGTGTTAAGGTTGCCAATAGTCTAGCTGTCTAACTGAGAGGTTCATTCTGGCCCATCTCACCAACATAAGGGTAAAACACAACCACTCTGCCATCTTTCTGAGAAATAGAGAAATGGTGTAACCTATGTACGTGTAATGTATACACTTTAGACATTATGTTATTTACAATAAATCTAATGAGTACAAAGTGTACTCCTCCCTCCTAAAATGAATTATCACAAGGTTATATAATGTGGTATGATCAGAAGCTCAAGAACATTTACTTATTTAAGATTACACTGTTTTGTCAACTTCTGTTGTGAACGCCATTGTTATCATTTGGAGCTCAAATTTGTATTTAGAAGAAAAAGGAAATTTGAACATGTGCAACTGGGCAAACTCCATCTGCAGAGCAAGCACTGAACAGCTACGGAATGAATCTTGAGGTGAGGTTTGTTCGTATTCTTTGTCTATATTTCCAAATCTTCTTTACTTTATTGATTGTGGCATCACAAACTAGATTCACAGTGAAATGGTTAGCACTACATTTCAGAATTCACCAATAAAAAGGATCGCTTTAGAAATATTCAAAAATAAATCTTTATTTTGCTTATTTTTTACTTGAACCTTGACATAAACTGTACATAATAATTCAGGATTCATATTTTTCCTGCTGACAAAGACTATATAATCTGCACTTTGAAAGTATTATGCAACATATTACAATTGTGTTTCATAATACACGTGGATATTAATACCAGTAGTCCAGCGACCAAAACAAGGTATGCTATTACAGTAACACATTGCTTCAGGCAGCTTTGTCTCCAAGGTAACTGACAACAAAAAGTGTGAGGTGTTGGGGTGAGTGCATTACCTTAAGTGTACATATTTCTTTTTTTTGTTGTCAGTTTGCTATTCTCATTTTCATAATTTTCAATCAAACTAAAGCTTATAATTTACAATGTTTTCAATTGAAACATTTCATGCAGGCATTGCCTAATCTCATATCTGTTTTTATGACCTTTCTCTGTGCCCTTTTCAACATGATAATTTATGATATTTTTCTTGTAAATGTGATACTGATTCTGCTGCATAAATGTTTATAATAAATATATGTGACTTAGAGTCTTTGAGATATTTTTCATGTTATTGCCACCTAATTTATTTACTGTATATATTCGTCTTCACCAGGAGATGCACCTTACAGAAGCAGTAAATACTGAATACCTTCGTGGGAAAAATATTCGAAAGCAGTGACTTTACTGCAGTCAGAAGACATGACATCTAGCTCTTCCTGTAAGTCTGCTCCAATCACAACGATGATTAAATAAAAAAAGCAGGCCAGTGTTTACTTATCTTAGTAGGACTTGATTCAACAGTAAATTGTGTTTTACCATTAGACCCTGCTTCTACATTAGAACACGATATCAGTGAGCCACTATCTGCCCTGGATGACAAAGTAAGACGGATCAAGTAGTTGAAAATACACAATCGATTTTGCTTTTCAGCTCTGTTTTAATCACTGTATATTGAATTTGTTAAAGCTTTTGATTTATTACTTGTTAACTTTAATAGATTTGTGTTTTTCTTTGGTAAGAGGAGAGCAGAGGGCTGTCCACAGTATGTCAGGGACCCTCCCACCTATTGTCTCAGAGCAGCAGGAGTTCTGAGGTATAACCGGGAGTCTGACAACAGGATAAACCTAACAACCATTCTTCCAGCGGTAAAAGAGATCACGTTTCTACCTACTGTTGTGAACTCCAATCTACATGAATTTATGTTACTGATTATTTCAATATAACACTTGTTTGTCCAGTCCCAACCTGTGACAGAATACCCAGTAAGGTGTGAGTTCTGTGGAGGAAAGGGCCAACCTTCACTGGATCTAACATGGACTCAGGAACCTGAGGTAACAAACAAATTAACACAGGAAAATAAATCCCCAAATACACCTGATGAACCGTTTACCTCCTTGTATCCTCTTTCATTTTCATCTTAGTCAATGCCACTGTTCTGCTGTGCTCAGCGGCAGCAGCTGTGTAAGATGCTGGCAAAGCAGAGATGTTTGGTTGAGGGCAGATGTGACCTGAGGACTCTTACTCCATCGTCACCGAGAGACAAGCCTGGAACAGTAAAGGGGGAGCTTCTCTTACAAGGCAAGGAGATGGAGGATAACAACAAGTTCATCATGGACTTACTGGGTGGACTCAGGTACAACTTTGCGTCTTAAAATGATTTTAAATCCATTACACAGCAACAGAAAAATAAATTAAACTGCTATCTTTATACTGTAATGTTTATGCTTCATTAGAGAACGATCAGAATTAAGAATATACGATGATTACTCAATCCAACTACCGGGGGCAGAAACCTGTGAGTAACAGCTGAGTTTACGTAACGCATTGACAGCTTTTAATCTGTTCACCCAGTCATGATTGATAAGCACAAACAGGCATTGCAAGAGCTCTCTTTGTGACATTAAATGGATTTGTGAGGCTGATAGAGTTTGTCCTGTGCTGTTGTTTAGTTCCCCCAACATCAAAGGTCCTTAGCTTCCGGCTCTCTCGTGCTCCAGGAGAAGGATGTTGGACAGTTTGTCCTTGTAGCGATGCTGAAAAGGAATTGAAAATAAAACAGGAAGAGGAGCAGGTGTTGATCCTTTTTTGTGACCACAAGCAACTACAGTTTGGCATATGTCATTATCAGGTACCCACAATATGCTATTGTGTATTCTCTTATTAAAGTCAGTGCTAAGAATACCTAACCTTTATTGGAAAACTAACAAATAATCCTAATTTATTTGTATTGATTCAGGAGGACTTCATTCTGTATATTATATTTACCCATATACACTGCCCCCCTGTTGTCACCCTGTGTCTGATCAATACATAAAACTACACAATAGCAGTTTTAAAGCTGTATTTTTCTTTTAACATTTATTTATTGTGAATAGGGTTAAATATTTCTGGGTATAAACATGTATGGCTTTTGACAGGGTTACTTTAGCAATCTAATCTTGTGCTTTCATAAAGTAGGCAAGACACTGACACTGAAATTATAGAAGCAGATACTGAAATGTCTTCCTGATTTGTAGTCCCTAATATAGCTCAGGTCCCAAAGATACTTTATTCTAACTTCCCAAAAAGCAGTAGCTTTTTTAGTTGGACTCTCAGTTGCCTAATTTTATAATGTAGCCTTTTTGTTGTAAATGTTGATTAACATTAAAGTATTTGATTTGTTTATTTGTCCATGTTTACAGGACAGGGCAGAACCTCTTCAGAAGAAATACTCCAATGGCAGGACCTTTCTTACCGTGTTCCCTGATGGCTCTGCTCAGGCCTTGTATCCACTCACAATGCATAGATTTGTATAATGTGACCAGATTTCCAGTGGGTCTTGCAAGGAGCCCAAGAGAGTGTGCATGCAATACTACATACAGTGGATGTTCCCATCCTTATCGTCATGTTAACAGCTATCCCTCAGGCCTCTTGGCTCTGGTTGTCATGGTCACTGCAGAAAATGGGAGAGTCTGCATTGTGTACGATGACAGCGATGCCTCCAGTCCATCGATGAGAGCCATGTTCCAGTCTGACGGCAGGGCGACATGTTATCACAGCAATGGGAACATATGGTACAAAGAAAAGTATATGTATATATTATTTATTTAATTAAAATGTTTAGAATGAATATATATTTCAAAGCAATACTTGCCTTAAATGATATTTGTATATCCATTACTTATCACGTGTTACCTCCAAGATAAAAAAAATTACAAGCCGCTTTTGTGAACAAGCAATTCCAATCCGGAAAATAGGTTTATTAAACATACGACTAAATAAATAGGATTAGGATTATATTTCACGTTGTGTGAGAGTTTTTTTTATCAGAAGTTTATAGTTTTGCTGTTGTGAGCGTGGCCTTCATTTACTTAAATTCATCAAGAATATTCAGTTTTATAAATCATCTTTCACAATATAGGCAACAATTGTTATTCTTCCAGAATTGTGGTTACCAAGAAGTAATAATTTTGAAATAAAAAAAGATGTTGGGGTGAAATATTCATTCAATATTAAGGTAAATAAAAGTTGGCGGTGGCTAAAGGAAAAACCATGAATTGGGAAACATGGCAAAAACTCTTGAAAGACTCGCTGCCAGAGGCCTTATCATAATCTTAACCATAGCAGGTCAGTCAATGCTTTAACGCAAGAGTTATACGCTATGCATCAGACTGTAGAACATCCTGTTCTATACAAATGGGGGAATGACATGGATGGTTTAGAAAAGCTTATAATACTAATTCCATGTGTGTGTGTTGTTGTTGTTGCAGGCTGACTTTAAACAGTGCCGGCGGTCAGTGTTTGGATGAAGCTGGTGCCAGGGTTCATCGGTGGAGCTGGAACAGTCCGAGCCTCATCCCCACTCCCCTGCATCCCGTCTTCCTGTCCCTCAACAAAACGATTGGGGTCCGAATCCTTGGGAAGGAAAAGGTGTTTGTTACCTTCCTGGCAAAAGGCCAACAGGCAAGGTTCAGAGTTGGTGCCTGCTGCGCTCAGGTGAAGCTATGTTTTTCTAACAAATGTTTTTTCTGCCTATTCATCTTGCAGTTGCTTGCATCGCCAATTCTGCTTCAATCTTTGTTTCCCTCCAGTGTGAATGTGCAACAGGCAGCGATGCTTCAGGGCCGTCAATATCAAAGGAGGAGCTGTATGTGTTGGCAGCCAAGGTTAGGATTCATCAGGCTTTCCAGATTCTCCACCGGTACCTGATGACGCCTTCACATCCCCATCTGCTGAAAATCACATAAGCCCCTCACCTCATGTTATCGCCCAGAGGCTTCTAGAAGTCAGTACTGATGTGATGAGTGAGACAGCCTTTCTCAAAGGATGTCAAGATTGTCTGCCAGTAATAAAGTAATCGGTGACACAATGATCGCAACTTTGCCATTGATAAAAAGTATGGCACATTCAAAATGCCAACAATTGTTATCTTGTAAAAAAGCGTTCAAAAATTACCATTTCACACCCCCACCCCCTTCTTCCTCTTGTAATGTGCTATACAAATGTAATGTATTATTATTATTATATAATCAAGGTCATACAACAGAAAGCATTCAAAAACCTTGTTCTGCATTAATGTGGGTAGAAGTCCCATAGGGAATAGGAGGGTCTAAATAATATCAGACCCTTGTCATCTTCTTGCAAAAAAGCACTGGTGTCTTTTATACAACCTAATGGCTCCTATGGGATTTCAAAAGTTAGGAGAGCATTTCCACCACATTTGCTCAAACAGGACTTTTCTTTCTCAATAATGGTATTTGAGACCACACAACAGAATCTGAAAAAAACTAAACAAATTAGCTCTAAATAACATTAGCAAAGCATTCTCACACTAGACTTTTACACTGGTCATACCCTTTCAAATGATCTGACCCATAACCCATTATTATGAGGCTTTTTTAAACACCTGTAACAGCAAAAAAGCTCTCATGGGATCAACTTAATTACATAATGGGATGTTGCCCTATAGTTTGGATTATCCAAAAATCAACAAGCGTTGCCGGTTGCCTCTGACGTCACTATGTTTTAGTCTTGTATTGTCAAGGCTAATCTGCTTTGTGTTCTAATCACATAAGCTTGGATCCTCAGGTCTTCTTAATAACATTAGAGTGGAGCAGATGGCTTTAAAGTGCACTCATGGCTGTAAGCAAGCAGGCCATCAAGACAAAAAGAGCAGTATCTCTCAGGCATTCATTTAGATTAACTACTTTTTCTCTCAGATAACTTAACACCTTGAGGGCACATCATCCAACATCTCTTCTAAAAGTAATAGGTTGCATCATTCGTAACACAGACCAGCACATCAGTAAACCACAACACAACACCAGAGCCTCACAGTTAAATAGTTACAATATGTTTAATCTTCTTTCAGCTTCCTTCAAGTTATGCAAATATAAAAAATATTCAGAAATCATACCAAGACAACAATTTCCCAATGTTATTTCCACAACAATGATGCCAGTGTTGCATGTTCTACAGGGTTAAGCTAGGTTTAGAACAAGTAACTTGAAAACTCTACATGTGGCTCAGTGGTACAAAGAACACGTTTTAAATCACATGGATCAGTTGTATGCAATAGGTTAAAGACTATGATAATCAATGTTAAATCTCTCCTTATGGGACCACTGAGGTCATCTGGATGAAATCTGCAGTAGTTTGAATGGAACAAGAAGATGACAAAAACAAAACAAATTGGCCGGCACTGTTGCCATGGATCCCACTCTGGCGTCAGGGGCGGGATATCTCCAATGGGCATGGTGAAGGTTGATGGGGACATCCAGTCAGTGCTAGCAGTTTTCCTGCTTTCAGCACAGACCTTCATAAACATCACTTCACAGCCCAGAGAGGATCCCACCTCAAACCTACACAGGAAGACAGAGGAAGCAGATCAAAGTCAAACAAATGGCCAATATAACTCACAACAAGAAAATCAGATAACAATAGGGATGGGTATCGTTAAAGTTTAAACAGTACAACTACTTTTATCGATACCGCTTATCGATCCGGTCTTTTAGAGGAAAAAACAAGGTAAACCAACTAAACTAATTGTGAACAAAACTAACATTGCTTTTTATTTAAATTAAATAAATAATATTTCACATCAAAATAAACAACAATGTTTTAACAAATCATATTAAATAATGTGATGACAGAATTGTAAACAGAATAGCTGAAACTAACAAACTAAATAACTCAGTTTCCTCTAATCATTAACCCATGTTTGTATCATTGAGTTAACTCCGTGTGTTGCTGCTAGCATACATAACACCTGACGTGGAAACGTTACTCGTGGATGGGGCTACAGAGCTGCTAGAAAGACAGTCGAACCCGGTGCATTCCTCCGTCTGGATGTGGTGCACTTTTGCTAAATGTTTAGACAAATTGCTCGAGTTACCGCCCTTACATGCTAAATTCTTATTGCACTTTTGGCAACGAGCATTGTCCACATCGAGACAGGTAAAGTTGAACCACACCTCAGAGCACGTTCTCCTCCGTGTGTGTGTGTGTTGCTGCATGTAGCAGCTACGTGTATGTAAACTGCCCCACCCCCTCCCAAGCAGGCGGGGGAGAGAGATCTCTCATCTGGATTGGAAAGATTGAAAATACTAAAATAATCATAGACGCATTTTGCAGTCTTTTTGCGTATTAGAAACGGAGTTGGCGACACTAAAACGGCAATATAATGTTTGTGTAGCAATAATACATACGACATGTTTTACACAGTGTTGTGCTAGTTACTGAAAACGAGTAACTAGTTACCATTACTAGTTACTTCATTTCAAAAGTAACTCAGTTACTTTACTGATTACTTACACCAAAAAGTAATGCGTTACTGTAAAAAGTAACTTTTTAGTTACTTAAAAAAAGGGCTCCCATTAATGCCCTTATAGCCAGGGGTGCACATAACTTGTTTGCCCTGGTTCTCAAAGGAGCACCTGGAGATGTTGCTTGGTGCTCATCCTTAAAATGAAATAAACTGTAACTTTTGAGGGGGTCTTGACTTTATTTGCCAGACACACGGCATTGAACACACATGCAGAGGTGAACACAGAACACACATACAGAGGTGAACACAGAACACACATGCAGAGGTGAACACAGAACACACATGCAGAGGTGAACACAGAACACACATGCAGAGGTGAACACTGAACACACATGCAGAGGTGAACACTGAACACACGTACAGAGGTGAACACAGAACACACGTGCAGAGGTGAACACAGAACACACATGCAGAGGTGAACACAGAACACACATGCAGAGGTGAACACTGAACACACGTACAGAGGTGAACACAGAACACACGTGCAGAGGTGAACACAGAACACACATGCAGAGGTGAACACAGAACACACATGCAGAGGTGAACACTGAACACACATGCAGAGGTGAACACTGAACACACATACAGAGGTGAACACAGAACACACGTGCAGAGGTGAACACAGAACACACATGCAGAGGTGAACACAGAACACACATGCAGAGGTGAACACAGAACACACATACAGAGGTGAACACAGAACACACGTGCAGAGGTGAACACAGAACACACATGCAGAGGTGAACACAGAACACACATACAGCGGTGAACACAAGGACAACATTAGCACGACCAGTAATCCTACAAGCTGTCATCACTTCCCTCCTGACTGTTCTCCTCACTGTCTTCCTCTCTGTCAGACATGGTAGCTGATGATGTAGGCCTACTACTTCCTCTCTGGTTGAGTCTGTGATTAGCTGCTTGCATCCACAAGTCAACAGCTGGGTTTGGGTCGAAAGTCTCTGTTGTCATCTTAGATAAGTGGATGTAATCAAATAAGTATGTGAACATAACCAATAACCTACCATAGCCAATAACAAATTAATGTAACTTATTTTATTTGTGTTGTTCATTCATATCTTATTTTACCTTAACATTTATTTATTTATGCATTTTTTTTTATCTCCAGTTTTAAAGGATATTTTTGGTTACTGTCCTATAGTATACATTGGAATGATTTCAAACCTGTTTATCTCAATAATTATAAAGGAGTGCCTTGGAAATATGTGTTTACATAAATAGTGACCAAACCGTTTGAACTTAGACTAAAGTGAACTATCTAAACACTCAGAGTCCTTTACCTCACTGAGCTGTAGTCATCAGCCTCTCAGTCTGACTGGAGAGGACTCTCCCTCCACATTGTTGTAGAAACATCTTCTTCTTATATCCGTTAGAGCAGCTAGCACGGCACCAGATTCTAATAACAACAGCGCCGGTACCGGTGCGCCCTCCCTCTCTCCCACGCTCACTCGCACTTTGTCTGTGAGCTGCGGGCGCCAGATAAGCTAAGATCCCCCATTTTCATCACTTACAGCGCCCATCGTACAGGGCAAATGAAACGTGTAACCGGGGTGAAAAGGGTGTACATTTACTTAATTGTGAATATTGTTACATCAAGGCCGAAAATTAGGATGAGCCCCAACGGTCAAAAATGTTTTTTTCCCTCCCAGAGCTGCCAGCGCAGCGCCTCCCCGGATCTGGCGCCCTAGGCGAACATCTATTACGCCAGTGCTACGGGCTGAGTTCATATCATAGATTCATATGCAACTCGCAAATATATTTCTCTCTCTCTCAATGTTGGTACGCAAATGCGCCTTTTTTCAAATGACACGGTGCTCTTTTTTTGGCGGAGGTGCACCTGCGCACCAGTTATGTGCAGCCCTGCTTATAGCCTTCATTTCAGTACTGTTATTGCATTGGAGAATAATACAATCTGTTGATCAACTTGACATGCATTATATGCAATCTGGATTGCATCGATATTAGCTGGCTTTCCATTTTTGTATATTCTTTCTCCAGGTAGTTGGAAAAAGTGTTCCGTCCCATATGCCGTGTGCCGCCCGGACATGCTATCATGCTAACTAGCTCCCTGAAAGCGGGTGACTCCACTGTAGCAATAGCCTGCATGTGTTCTCCAACATACCGTGCAATGGCTTTATCGACTTTCCCCTGGCTAGCAGTCCTTTGGTTAAAATCCAGACGCTGTTGCTTAGGTGGAGGTGGAATGGCGTCGGCTGAGTCTGGGTCTGTGCCGGGTCTTAGTTACTAGCTTCGTCCCAGCACGTTGTTTTTGCAGATGTGAATTACTGGTTTGGGCAGTAGATAGGATATTTGACCCGCCAAGACACAACTTACATTTAACTAAAACGTTCTTTTCTTTGTGCTCGACAAAAAGTGAAATAGTGAGAATATCTCCAGGTGGAGAAACTAGACTTGAGCTCCGCCGCCGCCATGATAGTCTTGTTAGTAAACAACACAAACACGCCCACAGCCCGTCTCCGCATGTGACACAGGAAGTATCTAAGTACATT